CTTTGCATCACTGAAAGTGGGCAGAACTGAGGGCAGCACCTGCGTGGATCCAGTAGGACACCCAACACTCTCAGAGTCACAGAACATTAGGGGTTGGAAGGGATCTCTGAAGCTCATCCAGTCCAACCCACCTGCCAGAGCAGGACCAAAACCAGGGCAGGTCACTCAGAAAGGCATCCAGACAGGGCTGGAAAGGCTCCAGAGAAGGAGACTCCACAGCCTCTCTGGGCAGCCTGTCCCAGGGCTCTGTCACCCTCACACCAAAGAAGTTCTTCCTCATGTTGAGCTGGAACTTCCTGGGCTCCAGTTTGAATCCATTGCCCCTGGTCCTGTCCCAGGGCACAAGTGACAAGAGCTTGTCCTGCCTTCTTGCTGCCCTCATGTATTGATAGACATTAACTGGATCCCCCTCAGTCTTCTCCTCTCCAGACTGAACAGTCCCAGGTCTCTCAGCCTTTCCTCCTCAGGCAGGTGTTCCAGGCCCTTCACCATCCTTGTAGCCTCCATTAGATTCTCTCAAGTTGGACTCTCTCTGCTCCACCTCTTCACAAAACCCAGTTGACCTGCCTCATGTGTGGCTCCAGCCTGTAATTTTATGGCTTTTTTTCCCTTTTCTTGTTCCACTAAACCACAGGCTGCACACAAGTATCAACTGGCTGTTTGGAACAGTTTCTGAAGTCAAGTATCAGAAAGTTTTGTAGCCCTGTTGGCCGTAACCAAATGCTTCACCACCCGTGGGATGTCCCTGGAGTGGTGGGATCAGAGCGGGGCTGAGCTGGCTTTGGTGTCACCACCAGCATCATCACAGCACGGGCTGCTCAGAGCTGACAGCCTGCACCCAGCAGCCTGGGTGAGTCCCTGCACACTCAGAACAAGCCCAAACCATCAGGATAGCACAGGGTATGTCCCACAAGCAGAAGCAGTTCTGCTCCAGGCTCTGCCCAACAACCCAGACTGGGATGTTCACATCCCAGGGATGCTCCGGGGCAAGGAGGCTTCAGACAGACCCGTGTGCTCCACCTGCCCAGCACTGCTACAGCATCCACCAGGAACAGGAGGAGTCTCTGGTTGGATACCCAAAAACCATGGGAGGAGGAAGAGCTGGGTGTGTACACATCAGCCAGTACCTGCCTCCTCTACAGCCCAGGCACTTCAGTGAGCACCAGATCAAGTTTCTGCCACAAAGTGAGTTTGTCTCCTCACCGCCTCCTTTTGCCAGGCCCTACCATTCCAGTTATCCTTTTCTCCTTCATTATGGGCTTTGTAAGGCAAGGATTACCTCTGCTCAACTCACCTGTTGTGCTCCCAAGACAAATGGAGCTCTAAGCCTTTCCTGGAGGACATTTCATAACAGAATGACTGACTGGAAAAAATACCATACAAAAGATAATAATAACTAAAGAAATATAGAATCATGTAATAGAATCACAGACTGGTTTGGGTTGGAAAGGACCTTAAAGACCATCCAGTCCCAACCCCCTGCATGGGCAGGGACACTTCCCACCAGCCCATGTTGCTCCAAGCCCCATCCAACCTGCTCTTCAACACTGCCAGGGATGGAGCAGCCACAGCTTCCCTAAAATACATTAATAAAATAAACGTGCATGAGAACACAGCCAGGTAAGCAACATAACCTGGATTCTCTCCTTCTTATAACATGCAATAATTAAAGCATCAAGCCAGTTGTGGCAGCACCAGGCAGAGTGTGGCAGGGCAATGCCAACCCTGCTCTCCTCCATCCCACCTGCACAAACTGCCCAACTCTTCTGTGGTGCACAAAGAGCAGCATTTCACATCAGGGAAGCAGAGGGATCAGGATAAGAGACCTGCTGCAAATTAAGCTCATGACCCATGGCCAGCACACTGGGCCCTGCTGGCTCTTCTTCTTTGGGGAGCAGCAGGATTTGTGCTGTCAGATGAACAGGTTTTCTCTTGTCAGTGGGCAACACCAGAACCACTGGCCTAGATACAGAGTTATTCAAAGTCCCAAGAGGAAAAATAAAAGAGTACAAATTCACTCAGAGTCCTGCTGTAATCTTCCCTGACTGTCCTAGCAGTCATCACAGTGACTCAGTCCTGAGTGACTCCTCCTTTAATGCTTCATCAGGCTAATACTGAGTTTAATAGTTAATTTTGCCTGTAATGATCAAGGCTCCTCTGAAGACAAGAAGTTCCCCCACAGCCTGTAACGCAGCAGTTGTCACTCTCCTCCTCCTCCCACAGGCAGGGGACACTGCAGAAGGTCCCAGCCCTGCTCCTTGCTGCCCGCTGATCAAGCTGGGCACACAACCCAAAACAGTCCCTTTCCCCATCAGTGAGTGACTCAAAACAACACACACCAGGTCTCAGAGCACAGCCCTGGCTGTGGCTGTCACCTCCATCCCAGCACAGACACACTGGGGCAAGGCAGGACATCCATGTGACACACAAATGTCCAAAACCATTAAATGTTCCTTGCTCTCAAAGGCAGAAATGCCACCAATATTACTAGCCTTAGAGGAGTAAAAAGGAAAGACTTGTGCAAAAGAAAACTCCTTCTGACAATCGCAGTAATTGGAATTAATTTAAAATTCAAATTATGCAAATTTGAGTAATCTCTACGCGCAGATCCATCACATGTCAGCAGTGGGACTGCAGACACATGCCACCAGCTACTTGGCTGGGGGAAATCCACCCTCCACCACGCCCTGGGAAGCAGGCAGGGATGCTCACCCCTGGCAGACATGGGAAGAGCACCTGCTCCTGGGGAATGGAGCTGGAGCAGGATTTGCAGGTGCTCCCTGAGCACCAGCAGGGAAGCAGAAAGATGCATTGGCAACACTGGCTGTGCTCCAGCACCCAGGGGTGCAGGGAGACCAACCTCACATGTTTTCAGATGAGCTACAATAAATTCTCCCTTGGAGAAGCCTAGATGCCCATGACCAACAGGGAGCCTGGGCAGATGGATGTGAGACCAAAGCATGGCATTGGATGCAGGCAGGCAAGAGCCTTCTCCATCCCCCCTGCCAGGGTAGGGTGCCAGCTGCCCCCCAAAAGCCCTGCATCAGAAGCCTCTCCCCTCACTCTGAGCAATTCCAGAAATAGAAAACCAAGCAGCTGCATCACAAGGCAAAGGCAGCTCAGCCTGTCAGCATGGGAAGAGCCAAGCCAGAAATCTGAAGTTACGAGCTGGGTAAGTGCAAAAGCCTGGAAAAATGAACCAAGGTTTAAACCTGAGCCTAGAGCAACAACATCTTTCAGATGTTAACACAAACTAGAAATGACATAGAAAATCTAAAAAATATATGGTTTTTTTAAAAAAACACCCTACAGAAATAATGCTGTGTTCCTAGAAGGATATAAATCAGCTCTGTAGGTAGACTAAGGAAAACTAAAGGCCCCCAAAACTTCATGAAGCCAGAGGGAAAGTGCATCAGTCACTAGAGCAGCACAGAGATCTGCCAGCACGGTGGTGAGCAGAGGATTGCCCCCTGTGACAGGCAGAGCCCACCTCTCTGCAGGCTCCAGGAGGCTGGTTGGGCTGAGAGCCCAAGTCCCTCCGTGCCTTTTGCACCCACCTCTGCTGCAGCAGGGAGGCTGTGGGTGGCAGGTCCCATGGAGATAGTGACAAACCACCTCTGAAAGGGGAACAGTCCTCAGCATCTCAGAGACCTCCTCTCCCCACTGCTCTCCTGGGCGCAGCTGGGGCTGCAGGTCCAGGCTGAAAGACAGGTGAAGCAGACACACATGCCTTACCCTGCAGCAGGACCTCATCATCTTAAACACCTCCAAGGTCTTTCAGCCTCTCATCAGACGCCCCATCCCACTTCTGTTTATCTCCATCCCCGAGGTTTTCACTTGCTTCCTGAGCCCAAGGCAGTAGCTCCCCCAGAGCTGGTTCTGCTGGCAGGGCCGGACCCCAGACTCACCCCCACGGGCACCTGCTGCTGCTCCAGACAAACACCAGCGTGCTGCCAGGGTCAGAACTGTCCTCCCGGGGAGAAAAGGAGCAGCTACACTCAATAGTCCAAGCACAAGCAGGGAGGATGAGCCCCCAGACCTGCCCGTATCCAGCGGTGACGCAGCCCAGGGGACACCAGAAGCAGCTCCAGCCTGTAGGACCCAGTGGGGGATCAGCCCCTCCTCCAGGCTAGAAGAAAATTAGAGACTTTGGGGACAGGGCGTCTCAAAAGATGCATCTGTCTGAAGCCCAGGGCAGGGTGAGCTTCCCTGCCTCAGCCAGCAGCTCCTGGCAGCACTCCGGGTTGCACAGGCACCCACCCCACCCCCATTGTACTGATGCTCTCACCCATTTCCACCCAACAGGGAGTGTTTTCAGCAAGGGGACACCTGAGCCCTCATTACAACCCCGGGGCCAGTAACGAGGCAGCAGGAAGGCCATACAAACCCCCCTATCAGGTGTCTCTGGGAAAGAGAAGAAGCAAAGCCCATTAAACATTGATCAGAGCCTCCTGCAGCTGTGGCACAGCCCTGATGTATCCCTGAATGTCCTGCCACCAGGATGCTCAAAAGGGCTGAGCTGCTCCAGGGTCTCAGTGCTGCCTTGTTGTTCAGCCCAGCTCTTCTGCAAACCCTCAAGAAGTCCCAGTTGCTTGTGCAGGTGAGGCAGAGGACAGGAAAACTCGTTTCCCACTCTCAGCCTTGTCCCATGCTTTGGACAGCAGCACCCAGGGACAAGACACCCACCCCACATGTCACCCAGCTGAGCAAAGCCACCCCTGGGCCAGCAACAGCCCTGGGGGGAGCCAGGGAGAAGGGACCACAGCTCTTCTGCTGCAGGGGACAGTGTAGGAGGGGATCACACCTGGGCAGGCAGAGAGGGGCTTTGCCACCATCAGGGGCCAACTCAAGCTGCTGCTGCCACCTGCTCTGCCAGGCTGGAGAAGTCCTTTTTGCTGTGGCTTTGGTAACGCTGCCCATCGAAGGAGCCCGTGGAGAGGCGGGTGTTTTTGGGGAGCCGTGTGTGGGTGCAGGGGGGGGCAGAGCCCCTGGGAACTCACAAATTGCCGCCGCAGTTTGGTCTTGACGCGCTCGGCCCTGGTCTCGGCGGGGTGGGCAGCGTAGCTGAGGGCCCCCAGGTGGTTGTCCACAGACAGGCTCTTCCTCATGTAGAAGGAACGGGTGCGGAAGGAGCTGAACGGGGCGTCCTCCACCGCCGTGCCCAGCTGGGGGTCCCTGGGGGGGTCTGTGCAGTCGTCCTCCAGCCGCCAGGCATCCCCTGGGGAGCACAAGGACAGGTCACCCCATCAGAGCCACAGCCTGGGTCGTGTCCTACCCCTCCAGCCCACCAGTGGGGCAGCCTGGACCTGTAGAAGGAACGGGTGCGGAAGGAGCTGAACGGGGCGTCCTCCACCGCCGTGCCCAGCTGGGGGTCCCTGGGGGGGTCTGTGCAGTCGTCCTCCAGCCGCCAGGCATCCCCTGGGGAGCACAAGGACAGGTCACCCCATCAGAGCCACAGCCTGGGTCGTGTCCTACCCCTCCAGCCCACCAGTGGGGCAGCCTGGACCCCCTCTTCTCACCCCACACCACCAGCACAGCACTGGGTGCTGCAGGACTCGCCCCCCTGCTGCAAGCCCCTCTGGACCCCTGGCCCCTACCTGCTCCAGGCAACAGCCCCAGGGAAGCTCCCACCCTGTCCAGCCTCAGCTCCCAACATCTTCCTGGTAGGAATCAGTCAAATACAGCAGAGGACAACAAAGATTTGGCCAGAGTCAGGGTCTCCAGGCCCTGCCGCAGTATAAATATTATGGCTCAGAACAATCAGCAAACCAAAATCCTAATATTTAAAAACTTCCTGCTATTTAATTCTAATGGGGTTATTCCATTTTAAAGAGTAATTTATAAAGAAATTTAAAAAAAAATAATTCGCTAAATCTTCCTCACCCTGAGTCCAATAAGACATTCCACATTGAAAAAAAATGTTTGCGTTGGTTTTTTTAAGGGAATGAAAATCCTACAGTCAGAACCACACCAACCTCTTCCTCCTCTCTCCCCATGAGCCACCCACGTGTGCTGCCAGCCCAGAAACCAACCCTGTTCTGGGCTGCATCAAAAGCAGCGTGACCAGCAGGTCAAGGAAGGGGATTTTCCCCCTCTGCTCTGTTCTGCTAAGACCCCACCTGCAGTACTGGGTCCAGTTCTGGATCCCCCAACACAAGGAGGATGTGAAATGGTTGGAGCAAGTTCAGAGGAGGCCAAAAAGATGATCCAAGGGCTGGAGCAGCTCTGCTCTGGAGAGTTGGGGCTGTTCAGCCTGGAGAAGAGAAGGCTCCAGGGAGACCTTAGAGCACCTTCCAGTGCCTGAAGGGGCTCCAGGAAAGCTGGGGAGGGACTTGGGACAAGGGCAGGGAGGGACAGGACAAGGGGGGATGGATTAAAACTGGAAGAGGGGAGATTTAGGTTGGACATGAGGAGGAAATTCTTTGGTGTGAGGGTGGTGAGACACTGGCCCAGGTTGCCCAGGGAAGCTGTGGCTGCCCCATCCCTGGCAGTGTTGAAGGGCAGGTTGGATGGGGCTTGGAGCAGCCTGGGCTGCTGGGAGGTGTCCCTGCCCATGCAGGGGGTGGGACTGAATGATCTTTAAGGTCCCTTCCAACCCAAACCATTCCATGCTCCCTGCTTCTGGCACTAAGGCTGCACACCAGTATCAAAGCTCTCCTGCAGGCATCTCCACACTCTGTACTTGGTGGAGATAACAAACCTGGCTTTGCAAATGGGAGAACTGAGGCACCACAAATACTGCAAATTACAAAAGAATCTACTGCCAGCTCCTCCTCCAGAAAAATCTCTGTGGCACAGCCAAGAGCAAATGAACAATCAAACCAAGGACAGAAACCAGCCCTCAGTCTCCTCACGCTCTGTGGATCCCATGGGCAGCAGCACCATCCCACGCTGCACTGCCAGGCTGGAATGCCTGGGGACAAACACTCACGGATGCCCAGAAAGCAGAGAGGCAGAGGACAGTGGGCATCACACAGAGCTGGCACTCCCAGGGCAGAGACAGACCATATTTAATTGCAACAAAAGGGAAAAACAACACAACACAATAGGAAACATCTCCATAATGTCACCGCTCTGCTCTTTGCCCAGCTGTGTCCTTTCTGTTGCCAATCTTGCCTTTACATCTGGAATTTGCCCTGCCTCCCACCCCCCAGCCAAAACCACTTCTCAATAGCCATAACAAACAAACAATAAACCCCTCTTGCTCAATTCTTGTAAAAATGATCAATGATTAGCCCTTGCAGCCCAAAAGGGCATCTCATCACATCTCCAGAAACTCTCCCCCCTCCTGCAGCCTCTTCCCAAGGCAAAATGGTTTGTGTCTGGTTCCTGTAACACCCAGAGCATCTTCGGGCACGAACAGCATGACCCTGCTACACCAGGGCTGAGGAGCAAAATGCTTGCAGAGTTTAAAGTAAATAAAGGCTTTAAGGTAAAAACCAGCTACAAAGTGAGTGATGTCCCATTTACCCAGGGAGGCTGAGGGTTTCCTCCTGGCTGTGCTGAGGCCCGGGCTGGTCACTGCAGCCCCAGAGCAGCCACCAGCCGCTCCATCCTCTGGGTTTCAACACAAGTGCTTCTTCCTCGAGCTTCTGAAGCTTTTTAAGGTGTAAAGCAGTTCAGTTCATGCAAAGTCCTGCAGTGGGTCTGAAGGCATTGAATCAAACCCAGCAGAACCCACAGGCCAAGAGGGAAGAGAAAGGCAGAGAGCTTGAAAAACGTGAGCCAAGAGGCAACCCGGAGCACAGCGCTTCCTCACACCTGCTTTTTCTTTTTTCCCCTCCCCTATTTTCAATTGAATAAGCTGCTGCTGCTCCTCTCCAAATGTCAACTCATCCAACACAGGAACTGCTGTTTGAAAGCTGTGATTATTCAAGGCACAAACATGTCAATCGGGGCCCAGATCCAGGCAGCCACCGCCAGGCAGCGCCGCTCCAGGACGCAGCAGGGAACACCCAGCCCAGCAGGAGATCCATCCCACCCGCAGGAAAAACCCCCGTGGAAGGAGGGAGGAGCCAGCCCCTGCACCCTTGGGCTCATCTGTGGTGATTCTGCCACCACCATCTGTCCCCAAGGCTGTCGCCTCCCAGTCCCAAGGCATGGCCAGACCCAACCACCACTGGGAGAGGGAAGACCAAGACCAGGGAAAGTCTCTGGGGGCAGGGGGGGTCGAAAGCATTATTGTCACTGGCTTAATTGCTGATCCTGAGTCAAATTGTTGAAGAAAGTAACTTCCAGTAATAGTTCAAAGTGTTGATTTTTGATGACACTAAGCTGGGTGGTGCAGTCAATATGCCAGAGGAACAGGATGCCTTCCAGAGGGACCTGGACAAGCTGGAGAGATTGGCCCAGGTGAACCTCATTAAGTTCAACAAAGCCAAGTGCAGGGTCCTGCACCTAGGCCAGGGCAACCAGAGATACCAATACAGGCTGGGGAAAGACATGCTAGAGAGCAGCCTTACGGAAAAACACCTGGGGATACTAGTGGATCAAAAGCTGGACATGAGCCACCAATGTGCAGTTGCAGCCCAGAAAGCCAAGCACATCTTGGGCTGCATCTAAAGAAGTGGGGCCAGCAGATGGAGAGAGGTGATTCTGCCCCTCTGCTCTGCCCTGGTGAGACCTCACCTGGAGTGCTGTGTCCAGCTCTGGAACCCTCAAGACAAGAAGGATGTGGACCTGTTGGAGCATGTCCAGAAGAGGGCAAGGAGATGATGGGAGGGCTGGAGCACCTCTCTGATGAAGGCAGGCTGAGGGAGTTGGGTGTGTTCAGCCTGAAGAGGACTCCAGGGGGACCTTAAATTGACCTTCCAATACCTAAAAGGAGCCTGAAGAAGGCTGGAAAAGGGCTGTTCAAAAGGGTGTGTAATGACAGGACAAGGGGTAATGGTTTTAAGCTAGAAAAGGGTAGATTTAGGTTGGACATTAGGAAAAAGTTCTTTACCATGAGGGTGGTGGATCAATGGAACAGGTTGCCTAGAGAGGTGGGGGAGACATTCAAGGTCAGGCTTGATGAGGCTCTGAGCAACCTGGTCTAGTTGGAAATGTCCTAGCTTATTTTATGGGGGTTGGGCTACATGACCTTTAGAGGTCCCTTCCAACCAAATGCATTCTGAGATTCTCTGAGCTCCCATGAAGTGACTGGGCATTCCCCTCCACTGGTGCTGCCAACGCTGGAACTGTGGGACACAAAGCAAAAGGCTGGGGAACATCCTGGTGGTCAGATGAGGATGTCACACCTCGTCCATGCAGGAGATGAGAGTTTCTTCCACCTCACCTGGTGACCCTGCTCTAGGCCCCAGGGACAGTGAGGAGCCAGCACCCAGGTTCTTCCCACAGAGAGGCAAATCTCTTCCTGAAGACAAGCAAATCACCACGACCAGGCATTGCTCAGAAAAGCATCCTTTTCTGTTCGATAGCATGCTGATAGTCTTAATGAGTAGCTAATTAGCTGTTCCTAACTCAGTATTAAGGAGCCAGGAAAACAACCTCGGAGCATCTGGACAGAAAACAACAACTTGTTCATTCACCCAAGGCTCGGGCTGGGGAGGAAGCCTTCCAACTGACGAGAGTTTTCATACTCCTCCTCCTCTTGGCATTCTCAGCACCTTCCAGCCATGAGCAAAGTAACATCCTAAACAGCTGCCACGTGCTACTCAGGCTCTTCCTTACACCCTGTGCCCAGGGTGTGCTCTTGGGTGGCTGCTCCGTGGTGAACAAGCACATCTGCACTCACACAGGAGGAGGCATTTGCAGCAGAAGATGAGATTTGCAGTGGGTCTGACTCACAATGGGACTTCATCCCACAGTCTTACCCCAGCTTCCCACCCCCTGCACCTCCAGCACAGCTCTCTGAAGCAACTGCACAACAACAGCTCTATTCTTGCAACAAGGACCAGCCAACAGGACTAAGAAGGTGACTGTTCCCCTGAACTCAGCACTGGCGAGGCTGCACCTTGAATCCTGGGGTCAGTTCTGGGCCCCTCAGGACAAGAAGGACATGGAGGGGCTGGAGCGTGTCCAGGGAAGGGCAAGGGAGCTGGGGAAGGGGCTGGAGCACAAGTGTGAGCAGGAGCAGCTGAGGGAGCTGGGGGTGTCCAGCCTGGAGACAAGGAGCTGAGGGGAGACCTGCTGGCTCTGCAGCTGCTGAGAGGAGGTTGGAGCCAGGGGGGTTGGGCTCTGCTCCCACATAACTGGTGATAAAAAGAGAGGCAATTACCTCAAGTCAGACCAGGGGAGGTTTAGATTGGGTATTAGGAGCAGTTTCTTTACGAGAGAGTGGTCAGGCTTTGGCACAGGCTGCTCAGAGAAGTGGTTGAGTCACCCATCCCTGCAGGTATTCAAAAAACATGTAGACATAGCACTTCAGGACATGGTTTAGTTGGCTGGTGCTGTCGGGATGATGGTTGAACTTGATGACCTTAGAGATCATTTCCAACCGTGATGATTCTATGGTTCAATGACTCAGGAAATCCTGAGAGTTCACAGAACATCACAAGCCATCTCTGATTCCAAGTAATGGAGCTGCCTGCAATTACCTGCCTCCTCACAAGTGTCCCACTCCCCACGTCTCCAGCAATCAGCTACACAAGCTTGCCCGTGGCTCTTCCTCCCACAGCGAGACCCGCTCTAACAACCTGAAGGACTGAAAGGGGAACCATGGGTCCCACACACAGGGGAGAGCAGTCCCTGGGGTGCTGCAGCACACCCCGGGGCCCAGCAGCATGGGCTCAACAATGTGACAAGATTGTCTGTGTGTGACTTTTGGGGGAATTAGTAGCACCAGGAAATGAAACGCAGCCTGCAGAGCATTCCAATCAGGCCAGGTTTTCAGCAGCTGCTCAGCTGTGCAGCCCAGTGAGCTGTGAGCAGGTTGGATTTAAAAAAGAAAAAAAAATTTAAAAAAAATAAAACCAACAACAAGCCAACATTAAAATCCAAGGGTGCTGTTTGAAGAGAGCTGTTTTACAAGGATTTTATCTAGTGCTGGATTGTCAGCCCTGGCTTGCAGGCCGTTTTGTGATTTCAATGCTAATAAACCCATTCCCCACCATTTTTATGGCCCCGGCGTGATTGCAATGGCAGCAAAAGCACTGAAACACTTCAGCTATCAAGGGCTTTGCCAATAAACTTGTTCAGAGCAGCTGGCCCAACTGTGTTAGTATTTCATCAGGATCTGCACAAGAGTAGAGGAACATGATAAAAACCCTCAGCTGATCTGCAACACACACAGCCAGGCTGGGAGCATTTACTAGAGCAGATCCCCTCCCAGGCCAGCGGGAAGAGCTCAGCAGTGCCACTCTCTGCTGCTGCTCCCCATGGAGACCAGCACCCTGAAGGTCACTTCATGGCACAGAGAGCCACCGAGGCAACAGCTCACCCAGAGGCAGGAGGCCCCGAGCATCACCTCCCCGTGTCTGGTGGCTTCATGAGCTGATTCCACTTATACATAACATGAAAGATGGGGAGGTTCAAGTAACAGATTTCAAGAAAGCCTCAGAGAAGAGGGGGAAAAAACCCTCAAACCTCATCAAGAATGGCTGGTTTTTGGAGCAGGACAAACCCCACACAGACTGGGGTTGGCTTTGTTTTCTTGGTTGTGCCCCTAGGCAAGCAGGGAAGGTTTGGTAGGATTTTGCAAGCTGCCAGCAGAAAGGGGTGGGAGCTCAAGCCAGCACTGCAGCACTCACCGGCAGAAGGGACCGTGCATCCTTTCTGGTGGTCAGAGGCTGAGTGTTTCTTGTAGGGCTTCTGCTCTGGCATCTCCTCCCTGTATGCTGTGGAGTCAAGGAGGGGAAGCCTGCTCAGGACCGGGGACTGCGGGATGCTGGGCAGCGTGCGGGACTTCCCCAGGAGCGGTCGCTGCAGCTTTCTGTCCAGAGACCTGGAGGGGAGAAAACACAGGGAATTGAGCAGGTAGGATGGCTTCTTCAAGGCAGGACACACAACGCTGCCAGGAGGCTGAGAGCACATGGTCCTTCCCAACACCAAAGTGTACCCTTCATTTGCAAAGCTGCTGCTGCTGCAGCAAAGCCTTCTCCCTTCGCCAGTGTATCTTTGCATCTTGAGCTGCCAGCCACACCAGCCAAAACAGCACATGAGGCATTTCTAGCACCCATCCCACCTCAAAACTCATAGAAAATCAGAAAATAAACAGAACGGAGTATTCAAGACTGAAGTGTTACAAATTGCCTTTAAGAGAGCAAAACCTCCACTTAGCACTTAGCATCACCTGAGGCAGCAGAATGCTTCTCGTGGTGGAAACCAGGTCACTCAGAGAGACCCAGCAACATGCACTACAGGGAAGGTCCAGACTATAGTGAGCAGACTTACATAGCAGGCACTGAGGAGGTAATGAAGGGGTCATATGACATGTAGAAACACAAGTTCAAGGTCTCTGTGAGGCCAAAACTCAACCAAGCCTGATGATTGGGCTCAAAAGCTGCAGGGGTGACCAAGACACACCAGAAGTGTGACCACCAGCCCCTTTTGCCTCCAGAAACCCAGAGTATGCCAAGTGTTGGGGCAAGGGAGCAGGCCCCCTTTCTCCTACTTCACCCCACAACTTCCCTCAAATGATGGGGATGATACTGGCCCTGGCCATGCCACAAAGATCCCAGAAAGGTGATAAAAAGGGACGGATGCCCAGCACCACCACGGTTGGAGAAGACATGGCAGAATCACCCTGTGCCAAGGGCTGCAGGCTGGGATCATCCCTAGGCTGCCCCCTGTCCCTGACTCCCTGTCTCAGAGCCCACAGCTCAGCCTGAGCAAGCTCCCCAGCACACCCCAAGTGGGACCAGCAAAGGGCCCCTCCTTACACAAGGCTGCTCCCAAATCTCAGGCTGAATGGTACGAAACCTTCACATTTCCATCCACCATTCAATTCTTGGCTGCTTTCTGCTCCCTTGTTCCTATGCCAATATTAACCTTTAGCTTAAATAATTACTCCCCATCTCTGGTGTTTGCTCCCATGTTTAATTTCCATCATCCCAACACCACAGCCCCTTGCAGCCTGCATTTTTCTAGTCCGATGAAGGCAAGCTCTTTCAGCTTCCTCTCTCAAAATGAGCTCTCATTCCACACTCCTCTCCTCCCTTCTCCCCAGCTCAGACCTCCATCCTCCCCCCATCCCTGCACACCAGGCAGAGCTGAGCTCCGGGCGCGGGCGGCGATCGCTCTGCCTCCCGGCACGTCACAGCGCTACATCTCATCCTATTTCCACCAGCTGGTCCTCAAGGTCGTGCAGGAAGAGTCTATCATGCAAAAGCTCCTGACCCTCAGCACTGCCTGTCACTGCACCCTTTATTATCATCGTTTTTCAAGCCCTTTACAAACGTGGCAGCAGCTCCCGCCAGGGCAGAGTGAAGCTCCGTGCCAGGCTCCTGCAGGATGGCAGGGCAGCAGGAGCACAGCACCATCCTGCCCACCCCAAGCCCCACATGAAACCAAGCTACACCAGGAGATACAGAGCCAGGATTAGCATCCTGAGTTGTTTCTATTTCAGTAAAACGTATGGACCTCTCGTTGTGACACACTTCCCTGGCACAAGACAACAGGGATGTAACTTCACACATCAACGCACTGCGTAAATGAGTCCCGGGCTCTGCCGGAGCTCAACACGTTCCTCTTTTCTTGGATATAAATCTCAGGGCTTTTTAAACAGACCCGTGTAGAACTCCATCACCTGCAGAACAGCATTAGCATTTTAAGTGCTAACATCCCTGTGTGCCTGCAGTGCCACTCACACAAATCACACGGGGGTAAAAAGGAAGAACTCACATGTTTAGAGGAGCATTTTTTTCAGTTGCAGACAACGATTTAAATCAGAAAGAGCAATTCAACTAGAAATCTGTTTGGATGTAAAACCAGAACTGGAATTCCCAAGCACACTCCAGCTCTATGGATCTACCATCCCTTGCACAACTCTGGAGGCCTCAGCACCAACTCTCAGTTTGGACTTGATGCCACCAGGAGGTCACGTTGCATCTCCCTGTGCTTCCCAGGCAGACTCCACAGCCAGGCATTATCAAGGATGCCACATCCCATTAGTAAAGGTCCCTGATGAAGTGTAAAGCTCAATTAGAAAAGCCATAATCAACACTGTTACATTCTGTGGTTAGCTGCTGTTCAGCCTTTTGGTCAAAAAGAAGAGCAAATCATCGAGGCGACAAGGGTGGAAAAATTATTCTGGCTGTATGTGAGAACTCCAGGCAGGTGTGACAGTGACAGCTCCATCACTCCCAGTCCACAGCCAGATAGGAAACCAGGGCCAGGTCCCCTGCGACCAGCTCTGGGGACAGCCACAAGGCTCAAGCTGGTTGTTCCAGGCAGGGTGCAAGCCCAGCTGACTGCTCCAGCATTCCCCACCCCAGCCACGGCTTGTGACACCTGGGGACACACGTGCTGCTCCACCAGGCTGTTACTGGAAGCAGAGTGGCTAAATAAACTAGCCCCTGTGTCCAAAAAATGGGGAAAAGGGGCAGAACACATCTCAAAAAATGTGCTGTGTCCAGCACTGGGTGGCTTTTCCATCACCACAGGGCAAGAGAAGGAAAGAGCTGAGCAGAGATAAAGGGAAGAGAGGGACAGAGAAAATGCTCATCCAAGTGAAACCATGGGAAGCCGAATCCTGCATCCCTCCTGCAACTGAACACCTGCCCTCAGCCTGTCCTTCCTGCTTATTTTGGTATGGGAGAAGTTGTTCTCCAGAGGGCACTTCCCAGTCCAACCCTGAAGGCTTATTTTAGTCTTATTTTGAAAGAGAGAGGAGAGAGGCTCCACCTTACCCAAAGGAAAGGATGGAGGAATCTCCACCATTCCAGCCACAGCAGAAATCCAGCAACACAGCAGAGATGGCAGGCAGGAGCAATAAATAACCCCAAACCTACTACTCACACAATCCCAAAAGAACCCCAGTAAGCCTCACTGATTTACAGGATTTCTCAGGGAAATGCATGAAAAAACCTCCCATGCACCTCCTTTGGGGGGTCCCTGTCCTTGGGCATTCCCAGATGTCCCATTCCTGAGAAGGGGAAGCCCTCATTCTGCCACAGCACCCAGTCCCAGCAGTTCTCAGACAAACCTGAGCAGGCACTGGGATTAATCCAGCCTCCTCATCTACTCAGAGCCAGGCTGCTCTTGGAAAATGGGAATGACAGTAGGAGGCTGAGCCAGGGAGCAAGGCTAAAAAGGGAGAGGGGCAGAGGAGCAGGGCACCAGCTGTTCCCAACCCTGCCTGCCTGCTCCAGCACTGTGGCCTGGTGACAGCCACACACCCCAGTGTGAGGCCATTCCCAAGCTCCAAGGAGAACGAGTGTCCCCAAGAGCTCACAGCCCCAAAAGGAAATTAAGGATTAAAAAAAAAAAAAAAGAAAAGAAGATGGAGAAGCCAATGGCTGCTTCTTCTCCTACAGGACCACGTGGCATTTCACTGGTAAATGTTGGTGGCTCCCCTACACCCTCAGTCAATTATTTCAGTAAATCTGCTGAGCAAAGGAAGCTTATAAAGGTGAAGGATTGGGGAGGAACAGCCTAGGACTGACAGAGGCACAGGGGCCAGAAGAGCCCTGTTATTGCAAAGGGACACTGCTCCCAGATCTTTCCAGCCAGTGCCTGCTCCTGCCTGCAACACACTGCTCAGCCTGCTCCTCCAAGGAGGTGTAACTTAGCAACCTGACCTTAAAAACTCAGCAAAGGTTTTAGATGGATTCAAGAAAATGAAAGATGCTACAAGCTGGGAGGAGCAATTACCCACCACAACCCTCTTTTGGTGCTGGGGAACAGAAAGATGTGGCTCTGCTCAGGCAGCAGGGTAAAGGGAGAGTGCAGCTCCTCTGCAGACAAATCCCACAGCCTCTGACCACAAGCAGTGGCTGCAAAACTGAAAAAAAAATTAAAAAATTAAAAAATCAACAACACCCAAACATCCATCCCCTGAACCAGCTTGCAGAGACCCAGCTGGGTGTGACAGGCACAATGTGCACCCCGAAGAGCTCAAGCCTCAAAAGACACACCAGGAGCAAGCAGGTCAGGAGGAGGTTTCCCATTTGCACTGAGCTCCACAGTGCAGGGTTCATCTTCCCACCAGCCCAGTGAGGGGCAAGCTCTGCCATGGGGGGAGAGGCTGTGTGCCACAGGGAAGAGGTGAGCAACAACTTGTGCAACACTCTCCTCCATCCCTGTCCAGATCACAGCTAGAGTCAAGAAAACACCTGCCTGCAGCTGGATCCTGCAAAGGGGCTTTGCAGGACAGGGAAGCAGCAGGAGATGGAAAGCCAAGAGGATCCAAGTGCCTTAGAAGCCATTTCCAGACAGAAGCACAAGGCCTCTGGGATGTCTCAGAATGGTCCAAAGCAGCAGCAGAGCCCCACGGAGGGCAGGGGGGGAAGTTTGAGGGGATGGGGCAGCAGTGGGGAAGCCTAGAGAAGGAGTCTGAGAGGCAGGAATACAACCAGCTGAAGCACTGGCTGGCCTTAAAAACAGAGCCCAGAGACTTAGGAATAAGTGCAGCCTTCACAGGGCATCCGAGCATGTTCAAGTCACCATAACTTGCTCTGGAAACCTTATCAACTGCTAGCAAACCCATGAGTCACTGGTATTTTTCCAGTGACCCTGTGAATTGCAAAGCAGTTACAAAGCAAAAATCACTGAGAAATCTTCTCTTCGCATTCAAAAAACATCCAAACAGAAAATCACCCTTTCTGGCTGCCCAGGACATGCGCCCGAGTTAACTGTCTAGGAGCCAGTGCAGAAGCCACAGACCAGCATCAGTTCTCCCATCACAAGCAGCTTCCCTGAGGCACAACTCCTTGTCACACAGAGCCACGTTTTAGCAGGAGAGAGGAGCAGCCAACTCCAAGGAAGGGAACCAGGTAAGCAGAG